TGTTCCTTTACAATTTTAAAGCAATTGTTCTTTTCCTGGTCACTAATTGCAATCTTTTCTTCTGTATCTGAAATTCTATCCTCACATTGGCTCATTCTGTTGCACAGACTTTCGATGGAGTTTTTCATCTCGTAGAAATCTATTTGCATCTGTTTTATGGATTCCATTTGTTTCCTATGTTGGGATTCCATCATGTTCCTCACCTCCTCTATTTTTTTATCTGTGTCCTCTCTAGATTTATTAATCATGTTTTGAACCATGAGCAAAATCTTTGCTGTTATCTGAGTAATTATTTCTGATTTGATTTTTCCCAGATCCTCGTTTGTTGCCTGTTCAGAGAGTCCAGGTGTTTGAGTGTCAGATTGTTCTATCTCGTTTCCCTTTGGGGTTGCTGTAAGTGATCCAGAAGTCTGTTTTTGAGACTTGTTTATGTGTCTTCTCATTTCCACAGTGGGGGCTACTTTTGGAGCCTGCATGGCTTACCTTCTCTGCCCTAGAAGCTTGGGATGGCACCAGTGGAGCTTCCTTCCGACTGGCTCAGCTTCTCTGCCTTAGAAGCTTGTGATGGCTGCAGGGGGGCTTCCTTCCACATGCTGGGTCCAGCTCACCTTCTCTGCCCCTTTTGTTTGCTAAAGTCACCTGCTTAGGACTGGTAAAGCAGATGGTAGTACCCAGCCAGTATGACCGTACTCGCACGTTCTGTTTTGTAGCTGTTCATGAGAAAATTATTTGGCTGCTTGAAAAGTCAAAGACTTTTCATTCCCAAGGAGCCATCTTCCCTACCCTGGGGGAAATGAGTGGCCACCTGCAGATGGATGAGGAAGAGTGCAGAGGGTCCGTCTGCACACTGGAGACCGCCCATGTGAGTTCCTATCAGGAGATGGATGTATCTGCACCGGAAGCTGCAGCTGGGACACGGACACTGGGTTAGTGAGGGTAGGAGGACATGAGGGCTACAGTCATTGTGACATGGGCGACAGGGAAGCTTTTCCTTCTGTTAAAAGGGTGCCAAGGTTGTAACAGGGGCGCTGCTGTGCCTCCTCACGGATCTGAGCCCATGGCAGTAGCTCTATCCGGGCCGGTGGATTTTTCTGCAGCTTTTGGAGTAGGCACTGCATCTCCCGAGTGCCCACTCGAGGGCTCAGCACCCGGCACCTCCCCTTTCCACCATCACTCTCCTGCCAGGCCACACTTGGGCAGTGACAAACATGGAGATAAACAGAAAAGTTTATCTCTCTTCCACTCTGTTTAAAGTACCGTTTTTAACACCTTCTCTTCTTCCATCAATACCTATGATGTTGATAACATGGTTTCAAACTATTTCATTACAGCAAATTTAAGATTTTGGCAAGTGATCTATATTCTTCAGGATCTGTCATTAAAGTTCCATGTTTTCATATAAATCTTCCTGTAGACTGAAACCCTTTTTAGTTTTCAACTGGCAATAATAACTAACATTAGTAATTGTGCTCCATAAAAGCACATAAATTGAATAAGTACCATTGCTGTCAAGATTATAAAGGAATAGATATATATAATCCCAGTCCACCTCACACTCTGATGAAGGAAATGAGTGAAATAAAAATAAGGATAGTACTTATAACCTAATACAATAAATTTCCTTATTGGTAAATTGTTTCTTGTTTTTCATATGATAACTTTACAAATGAGAGAGAATCTGAGACAAAATGCAAGAGCCAGTTTGGGTCAGTGTGAGGTTTCCCAGGAACACACACCTCTAAAGAGAGAGCAGAGTTGGGGGACCCACATACCTGTGGCCCAGGCTCCCCAAGGCGGTGAGGGGCTCCAAAGAACACAGAGAGGGGGCTTTGGGAAAGCAGCCATAGCTCCTATGTAACCTAAGAAGAATTAATATGCCTGCTTCTTTACTGGAGTTTATTAGCTGCACTACCAATTTTTCACAACATCTTCCTTAAAATACATGCAAATTTCGAGACAATATATAATACATGATGAATTTATACAATTTTGTCACTTAAAATGAGTAAAGAAGCAAGACAAAAGGACTGAATATTTCCCTATCACTTCTGCTGTATTTTCTCCTAGTATTTCATAATGTGCTTCTTAGAATTTTCTTTGTGTTACTTGCCATCCTTCTTATTATTCTCTCATTCAATCTCTGCTTTATTAAGAGATGGCTTGATCCATATACTCTGTGAGGACTTTAGAAACATGTTTCATATTCCACATTTTCTATACATTTTTATATACATTTTTCTACACAATTTTAAATGCTGGTTAGGGTAGTGTCCTCATAATCTTCTCACTTCTTGAAAGAAGCATTTTTGAACACAGGAAACTTTGGGGGGAAATTGAGATGGCAAAAAAATGTAGATTTCTTCTGCAGTAACCAGCTCTTTTCCCTATTGCTTGTCTATATTAAACTTATCTAAACAATTCAGAAATCACTGAGATTTATATATGTTATTTCTCTAAGACCGAAGTATTAAATTCACAAATGGTATTGATTAATTTTAATCACTTATCTACATTAATTGTGAAAAGCATGACAATGACTAAGCTGGATTGGAAAAGCCTCCTTAATTTTCAATATATTTCCTGAATACAACATTCTTGTCATGAGTTTCCTGATGGCAAACTTTATCTGTTCATTTCTGAGACTGTAGATGATAGGGTTGAAGAGGGGAGGAATGACTGAGTAGAACACAGACAGGACCATTCCCATCATGCCAGAAGACATTGCAGATGGTCTCAGATAGACAAAAAAGCCTGACCAGAGGAAGACAGACACCACGAGAATGTGGGGGACACAGGTGGAAAAGGCCTTTTTCCTGTCTACTCCCACTGGAAACCTGAGCACAGTAGAAAAGATGTGAATATAAGACTTGATGATATAAGTGAAAGAGCCACCACCAATCACCAGAGCAGAGACAAAAATCGAAATCTGGTTGCTGAAGGTGTCAGAGCAAGACAACTTTAGGAGAGAGGGGATGTCACAGAAGAGCTGCTGGACAGCACGTGAGTGGCAGAATGACAGCCTGAAGGTGTTGTTGGTGTGCAGAGATGCATATATGATCCCACTGAGCACAATGGCCAGTGTGCTGTGGACACATAGGCGAGGGCTCATGATCACAGGGTAATGGAGGGGCCTGCAGATGGCTGCAAAGCGGTCATGAGCCATGATGGTGAGAAACAGTAACTCTACAAATCCAAAGAATAACACAAGGAAGACCTGAGCTGCACATCCTGCCTTTGAAATGGAGCTTGCACCCAGTAGGGAGTTCATGCAGGAGTTAGGGACTGTGACAGAAATGTAGCAGGAGTCCAGGATGGACAGGTTCCTCAGGAAGAAGTACATGGGCGTGTGAAGGCTTTTGTCAAGGGTGGTGACAGCAGCAATGATGAGGTTTCCCATTAAGGTCACCACATAAATCAGAGAGAAGAACATGGCATAAAAAACACGTAGATCCCACATGCCAGAAATCTCCATGAGGAGAAAGTCCATCATCATGGTGGAGTTGGTCATCTGTGGGCGATGTGGATTGTTCCTGAGAAGAGAAGACAACAGTGTTGACCCCAGGAAGGATCGCAGTGTGGAAAATTCCTTCATAACTATTAAATTCCAGCCCCTAGGATCACAGGGATGTTTGGTGCCTGGCTCTCCTAATATTTATGATGATTCTCCCTTAGTCTGGATGATATTCTCCTTCAATCTGAGTGCATGTCAATTACCATTGTTGCTCTGTTTATAATTACCACCTGCACTGAAATTTATGCAATCTGTTGTCTTATAAGCTTAGTAAAGTTTTTGTTGTATGTGTGATATTTACATATTTTAATCCTAAGTAATTTACAATATCATTAAAACATTATTCTAATTTGTTTTTACTGTCTAATGTGCAAAGTTTCCAAAATATTCACAGGTGATAAAAATATATCACTTTATATATTTAAGAAAGGAAAAAATCCTACATTGTAGTTTTTAATAGAAATAAAAACCCAAAAATTTGCAATGTCAAGAACATGGCTTATCTTATGCAAGATTTTAGTTTGCATCTTAGAGTAAAATAAGCTTTCTTTCTATTTTTCTCTCTTTCTCTCTCTTCCTCTCTTATGATCTAATCTAGGACCCAGAAAACTTTCTAGGCTAAGGACCTGCTGTGCTAGAGATTGTTCTCTGTCTGCTACTTTTTTGAGTTAGGTACAATATTTCTTTATCTCTGCTTCCATCTCTCTTTCTGTCTCTCACTTTGTTTATCAAAATCAAGACAGTGATAGGTTAAATGCTGTGAGAACTAGAGAAATTATTCAGAATATAAAAAACATTGCTGAAATGTCCCTGGTTCTCATTGACAGGAACTTTGGTACCATGATTGCTGTTATCCTCCATTTGTGGAGCATATACTACTGTCACCCACTATTTAGGTAAAATTCGTATATCAACCTGACCTCTCTAAATGTCCATAAATTTAGCACTGCATCCATGTTCTCAGAGCAGGCTCCTCTTGGAGCTCTGTCCTAACAAGCTGCCTGCCCCTCCTGTGGTTCTCAGGGATCTGCTGCCCTCTGCCCAATTAAATGGCTCTGTTTGCAAAAAGAATATGCTCACATTTTCCCTTTTATGAGTTAGTAAAAAATTTCCTTCCCTTGTATTTTTATGCTTTTGATATAATTTAAATTTTATTATATAAAATTACACATGTTATGATAGGAACATACAGCATGTGTCCATAATATTTTTAACCAAGAAAAATTGACCAATTTGAGACTCCCCAACTCCTCCAAAGGATATGGTAGGGAGACAGGAGTCTCAGGAACTGCTATTTCCACTTGCCACTTTAAACTAGTGACCTTCTTTTGTCTAAAAAAGAATAAAGATTTACATTGTTGTAGTCTTTTGTTCTTTGAATTTTTTTTGAGGATTTTTTTTATTACAACAAATATTTACCTCATGCTATCACAGTAGTTTTGAGAGTAGTAAAGGAAGCAAACATCTCTGAATCGCATGAAATTTTAATTCTACTAAAGCAGACTAATGCTGTAGAGTTAAATGTCTGATTAAAAAGATTGCAATAAACAAATGATTCTATGATCACTAAGAAATTGTATATAGACACATAAAGAAAACACAACTTGGTCAACTAAGTGATGATTTTTGGAAGACAGAAACTAGCCATGGAAATAAAGCCACATATTTTACAGTGGACACTTGAGTTATGACCAGCCTGACATATGAACAACTTGGGTTAAGAAGATAATTTTAATTTTAACTTATGACCAAAGTCTTGAGTGATCACCCAAATGCTGGCCTCTTGTATTCCCATATGGTCTCATGTACAGACTTAATCCTTAAAGAGTTCTGGAAGGAAAATTACAGCATTCTTTCCTGTCTGAAGTTAATTGAGAAATCTTGGGCCAATGTCTCTAAGGACATAGATCTTCCTGGAAGAAAGCGTGGCCTAAAATTAAACAGGATAGTGACTTTGAAGGCAATTGACCCACTTGAGTTACAACCAGCCTTGCAAATGCATTGAGTTAGTAAGTCAAGGGTCCATTGTGACTTTCTCCTCCAAAACTAGTAATTTGTTTTAGCACTTTGTGGACAACACCTGTATTTATCTGGTGAACAGTTTTAGTGAATTAGATTAATAGTAAATATGTCTATACTTTGGTTAGATGAAAAAATTCATTATGAAGCATAAATTTTAATCTTACAAAGATTGAAGGCCAATATTTAATGATTTTCTATCCTAAGAGAACTAAAATCATGACAAAATATAATCATTCAATAAGATTTAGCTGATTTATACTTTAACAATTTATGATTTGAAATATTTTCTTCCTATGGAAAAAGTCTGAACTGGGTGATCTGACGATTTGTGTATAGGATGGATATATATAATATTATATATATATATAATTATAGATATATATGTATAACAAGAAATCTCTTGCTATTCCAATCAGTATATGTCAAATAATATACATGCTGGGAATCTGTTCTTAAACTTTAATTGTAACACTTTCTAAAACAGTTGAAGTCTGTTTCAATGAAACATATTGTCATTAGCGTTGTTGTGCTCATGCCTCTTCATGTAAAGTCTATGACCTTACTCTCTATGGTTTAGGACTAAATTTGGTTTAGGACTAAAATTTCCAAATATTCTGTGAAGTTACGATGAAAGAACCCCAAATAAGGAACCAGTATTCAGCAACCGTGCAAAACATAATGAGGATCAGAAGCCTGGATATCTAGAGTTAGATCAGGTGTCACTAATATTCAGATATAAATTGCAAATAAACAAACATTTAGAATTCTATTGTGAATAAATAAATAATTTCAATATACCTGTTTAAAGCAGCATAGGTGCTTTTCTCTTGAAGAGTAATATACCTTGTTAATTTGTAAAAATATAGATGGTGAAGGTTTACATTTCCACAAGCAAATCAAATCAAATATTTTCTGAATTAAATACTCAGTCTCAATAAATAATCTGCTTCTACACAATTCATTTAAATAAATTACATGATTAGTTTTGTTAAAAAGAATCACTCCAGCTGTAAAGGAAAGTGCTGACTGCATTTCTTCTCCCTTATATTTAGATATTTGAACTCCTCCCAAAACAAATTGCTGCTTTCTGCAAGAGAGTAACATTAAATCATTCTACATATATTGACTGGATAAAAAGCTTCAGATTTCTTCAAGCTGCTGTCAGTGAATATTTGAGACATTTGTTTCTTTCTTCCACTTTTTAATTTTTGAAATTTACTCTTGTGAAAGCATGACTTTGTATGTGACACAATAAGCTACTTCCTAGAGCACGTGGTTTGGGATTTTAAATGTTTCCTTTTCCTTTTGCTAAAGCTGCTTACGTCTGTGAAACCTTATGCTCAAGTTTTTGAATTGACCAAATGATACTAAAATATGTTTCACCTATCTATTGTGTGTAAACATTTCCAAAACTGTTAGACAATTAAAATGAAAGACATTACACATTATGCATTAGATAATTAATATTGTGGTGATATTATGGGTAATAATATGGGTGTTGTCTTAGAGAGCTTAAGGCTATGTTGAAAATATCCATCCTTACATGTACCAATTGAAACTTAACTAATGTAGGTAATTAAATTGGTCCCTCTAGATAATAATTTAATCTCTTTCTTTTGTTGAAATGAATAACCATTTTATGCAAAATTATTAAATTAATATTCTGTCATGGTCACAAATGTGATTACATATTCTTTAATAAAAAATACAGGCCTTTTGCAACAAAATGAATTTTTTTCCTTATTTTACTCTGTAGATTTTTAAAACAAAATACATTAATCAAAACTTCAAACAAAAGACTCATGGCATCATTGGTTTACCTACTAATTTAATTCTCAGTTATTCTGGAAATTACAATTGAATATCTAACACTCCTCAGCTCAGGCCCAGCTAAAAGGGGTGGAATAATGAGGAAGATCATCTAATCAAAATGCAGCACATTTAAAAAGAGATTTTTTTGGAAGATTTAAATTATAAAATATTCCATTTTATGTGCTTTTTATCATATTTATATTCCTTCATTTTTCTTTTAAATAGTGGATTGCTTTCTCAGGGAATCTCATAGAGGCAGCCTCCTGATTAAACTTCTCTGACCTTTGTATACAATGCTTAGGAGTCTTCTGGATTTTAAATTTCTCAGTTGATAGTGACCACAAAAAGCTGTCCAGTTTTGAACCCCTTTACACACTTATGCTGCCCATCTTTGAAATGATGTGGTTTTTGGCAACTTTTGACCCACTCATTGATTTACATTTTTAATTCATAGTGAGAATTTAACATGTTTCTTTACATCAGGTAAACCACTCAGTTTCATGAAATAATTTTTCTGAGTGATGATTTACTGAAATATGCAATAGATGAATTTATAGTGGACCCTTGACTTACTAACTCAGTTTGTTTATGAGGGTAGACTGTAACTCAAGCTGGTAAATTGAAGGCTCAGGCTCCTCCACACAGCCTTCAAAGTTTGTCTCCTATATAATTTTAGGACACACTTTCTTCCAGGCAGAACTCAATATCCTTAAAGATATTGGCCCAGGATTTCTCAATTAACCCGTCACCAGAAAAGATGTTTCAATGTTCTTCCTAAAACACTTTAAAATTTCAATCTGCATCTGAGAACATCTTGAAGCACAAGAAGACAACATTCAGGTTGTACCTCAAGACTTAGGACTTAATTTAAAACTAAAATTTGAGTCATAATGCAAGTTGTACCTATGTCAAGCCAGTTGTAATTCAAGGGTCACTGTATATCAGCACATACAGATAGTTTTCTGCTTGATTAAATCCATTCTATGTACTCAAGTAAGTTGTTAATTCATTCCAAATGAATGAGTGTTCAGCACAGAAGGAAGTTCAGAGACACTTATCAAGATGTTCATAATAATTCCCCACACTTACCAGATCCACATTGTGAATATCCAGTTCCTCCAGTACATCTTTTATCCATGTAAGATGTCCAAATATACATGAAC